TTAGGGTTAATGGATAGACCGATTTGTTGAGAAAATGAACTAAGAAATTATAAAGATAATATGAGAGGTATGTACGTGTGTAACTGCTGCTGCAAATATTGAAAATGTCCTAAAACTCATTGCAAAAATTAGGAAGAAAATACAATTAGCCCATTCTATTCCTAAACGAATATTAGCAAAATTTTTTGGAATATTCTTACTTTTTAACTGTTTGAAATTTTTTCTAAGTTCGAACACGGCCTTCATTCTCTTTTAGAGTCTTTCAAGTCTTATTGGTTTGCCGTGAGATATTACTCTTGTTATGAGAAAAATGTTTCAAAGCCAAAACCATTATCGACTTCCGCCAAAAGATTGAAGTCTGCAAGGCAACGCTCAAATTTTTCGAAAATTCTCCTCTATCTTGCAAAAATGAAAGAAATGATTACAATGGATTAAGAGAACAATAAGAAGACTGCCATAGAGATATTTTTTATATTCAAACATCGTAGAAAAACTGGTCGATGACAAGCTTTTTAAGAACTTTGTTCCCAAATATTCCTCGATTAAGACTGCTAGTCTCATTTGAAAAAGGAAAAGAAGCTTAGTTATGAAATTTTCTCGTATTTGTACTCAAATTCGTTGTATTTGTTGCATCAAAATCTCCACTGAGCTCGCATATTCAGCACAGTCTTTCGGCATTCAGTTTCTATGAGAAAAGCCTGATTAGGCAGAATTTGCATTAGAAAAAGACGAAGCTTCCGATTACCGCCACATCGTTTCGCTGAAATCACTTAGGCAGACCCCAATTACCGTTTGATTCTTAATGAGCTCATTAAAAGCTTGCCCTTTTCAGTCGAATAATCGCCGCATGAAACCATTCCAATAGAATCTTTAGCAAAAAAATCGTATTATTAACCCTAGGTTGTTAACTGTCTCTTTTGCTTGAAAATTGCGAAATCCAAAATATTTTTCAGAATAATTCTATTGGTTTGTCTCAAAATTCGTATTTTTGCAAAGTTACTAAGAATGTGATGAATGTATAATTGTTTGTACGTGAAGCAAAGGCATCTCCTTTTGCCTGATTGGATTTTTTTGCTGCGCTCTAGTGCTTTCCAATGGAAACCGCCGGTTCGCACCCACAATCATCGTCCTAGCACGAGACGTCATTGAGCCCTACGGATATGCCAGCGTCGAAGAAATGCATTTGAAAATATGTGTAGAGTAAAATTCACTCGGAACAAATTTTCTCAGCAACAAAATCATCACATTAAATCGATGTTTGCTCAAATTGATTAAATCAATCAATGTTCACTTGAACTTATGCTTTACTTTTACATTATACAAATTAGAAATTCCTATGATTGAAATACAAAATATATTGGGTAATATCGATGATCTTATATCCGATGTGCTATCTTACCATCTAAAGTAACGCATTCGTAAAACATCTATTAGAACATGCTTCGGACAGATACAAATTCCTTTCAACCAATTTTCACCCGCGAGGCTTAGCAACCCTTTTCCGAACTAGGAGCCTAATCGCAACGAAGTTTTGGAACGTTATGGAAGCACAACGATATCGACTTCTCATTAGACGAACTATTTCGAAACATGCGAGATTGCAATCGCAAAGTGAAAAATTCGAAACAGGGCATAATGGCTATTTACGGCTATAGTTTGTGTTAGTTTCAATTTTACAATATTAGGCTATATATATTAGACTTGAGGAAAATAACTGTAAAAGAATAACTTATAAGTCGATGCAAAGAGCTGCTATATTTTTGTTTGTCCTTTCTCATTTTTTCACTCTTTTATTCCTCATAAACACTTTAATGCTCGACTTTCTAACAAGAGAAGGGAAACACTCTATTATTTTGCTTTCACCCTCATTTTTATTCCAAAAACGTTGAAAAAAATTTTGTAGGGATTGATTTAGAAGATCAATCTAAACAAAAAGAAAGACCTCTACAAAATTTCGCGAATTTTTAAGGCACCATCTTGCCATTCCCTAAGGAGTGGCTATATATCTGAAAGAAATGTCGCAGCAAACGTTGGATTTATGGGTATCCAGCGCCATCAAGACAGAGCTGCGCCTTTTTTGCAAGGGGTTATGCAGAATCCGTTCCGATTTTATATTTATAAGAAAACCCAACATTTCAATTTAA